CTGTGTTTCAAAGGGCAAATACATGACACTGTACATCCCTTTTCAAGATTAAGAAATTTCTTAATACCCCTCTACCACGATTTAGAGTCAGTGGAAAATAAATGCGCAATACTGTTACGATAATAATTGCCTCTCAATGACATGGCCATTCGGTTAGCAAAATTTCATAATTTCTTAAACTTAGCTGATTTAGGATCAGTGGCAAAAGCTATTTGCCGTCTAGTAACAATACCCTGAAAAACACTATTTACCCATGGCTTATCTTTAAGAAGACTATTGATTAACTATGGGGAAATGCAAGTCTAAAAGTTTTGTCATGTTCGTTTGATAAAATTCGAACTGACTCTGAGTACCATTCATACAATACAGATCTTGCCATCTTACATTCTTGAGGTCGTACGCAAAATTGACCTTAGCGTTAGGATTACATCTCCGCTTAGTATGGTAAGTAAGATCCTGTGATGGGTGAAAAAACAACGACGCTGTGATGGTCAGACAGACCAAGCGGTGATTCTCTTATAGGGCCTTATAAAATTCACTCATATTAGTGTATATCAAATCAAGTGATGTGGCTTCTCTGGTTGCGACCTTAACAGCCTGTTTTAAGGGATACTTCAGAAGCAGATAGTCTCTCATTTTGTCACATGTGACGATAATACCCGTTTCAGGATGTTTGCAATATATATGGCCTAAACTTTGTGTTATGTGGGAAGCCATCTCCCAATCATTATTTATGCTACTTTCTGGGTGATATGACGACCAAAAGAAACATTCGCAACTTTATGAGGCAAGCGTTTAGGGTGGATCATTATCCAAATACTGTGATAAATAATAAAGTGATTCGTGGTGAAGATCAGTCCATATCTTGAATGACAGTTCTTCCCGGACATACAATACGATACCCACACTCTACAATTTTGCACCACAGAATATCCTTCAAGCAAAATCAAATTATTTGGGAAAGAGGGGCTCAAGTGGGTCTCAGTAATTGCAATCACATCACTGTCAGGTTGTAATCATCTCATGCGTACAGCCAGATCGTTGATCTTATTATTTAAACATCGGGTGTTAATCAAAAGAAAAGAGGGTAGAGACCATTTTCCATTTGATCATTCCACTAAGTTATCATGATTACTTCCTTTAATGCGAGTCGAGTGGCTGAGCGGTAAGGCAGGGGCGCCGCTAGCTACACCCTTTAACATCGGCGCTGGTTCCAGCCGCTCCTCGCCCATGGTTCGGTTGGTAGAACGTCTTCTCGGATAAGGACTTAAAATGGAGGTCCAGTGTATACATCTGGCTCGTGTGCACTTTAAAGAACCCATTGCATCTTTCAGAAGAGTAGGGGGTTACCCCGATGTTATGGTTCATTTCAGCCCCTGTCGTTGTGGAATGATGTGAACATGTATC